ACAAAAACTTAACAGACCAAAAATACAACAAACCAAAAATATAACCGTTTTTTAAACCAAAACTATGACCATTTTCGACTAAAATAAAACCTTTTGAAAACAAAAATGTAACCATTTTAGACTAAAAACATAGCCATTTTCGGAAAAAATACAACCATTTTCAATGCGACATATGACATATGCGACATTTTTATTGATGAGACATTAGAGAAATAAAACAATTGACAGATGTGACATTCGACAGATAAGATGAGAAATTTGAGAAATGAGACATTTGAAAAATGAGACATATGAAAAACTAAAACTTTGAAAAAGATTAAAAAAAGTAAAATGGTAGATTTAAATGAAATATGCGAAAACTACGAGAAGCTATTCTACAGAGTAAATGGACTCTCGGTCTATCTACATGTATTTTAGTGTAATTACCATAAGATAAAATATCTATGTATATAAGATTAACATAAGATAAAACATCTATGTACAGGTTGTCCCATGAAACATGACTGTTGCAAGACAAAATTAAGATCGTCTTTGATCTTTTTTATTAATTTGCGGCATTTATTCATAAACCTAATTTTAGTACATTCTAGAGTTAATAATCGTAAAATTCTTGGCATTGCCAAAATGTGGTCGGCCTTTTTGTACTTTCAATATTACCGGAGATAAGAAGAATTTCTTCAGATTTAGACAATTTTTTTTTAATTTGACTAATTTAAGAATTTGTCCGATGATATTTGACGGCTCGAGCCTTATCCAGTCTCAATGTATTATGTAAGCTTATACCTGAGACTATTTTTTTCCCCAAACCGTTTAATTCCCACCCTCTTTAAAGCTCGGTACTTGAAATGAGTCGTAGTTTCTAGTCTAACCCCCCCTCTCACCCTTATTGCAGACATGTTTTTAACTTTTAACAACCATTTAGTGTAAAACCCGTTTATGAAGCAAAACTAATTTATTATAAAAACAATTTAGGATAATTGCGTAATTTGTGTAATATATAGGTTAGGCGGGAAACTGGTGAGATTATATTTAATTTTCTAATATTTACAGGGAGCCCAAATATACATATGGAAACTAAAAATAAAAGGAGTCTGCATATACTGATCCCCAAAATAAAGAGAATAACAAGACTAATAAAAATAATGTCTGGAATAGTTTATTAAAAGGAAAATGTGCAGCACTTCTTTCTTTTCATTAATTATATTTCGGTCTAATATCTTTATCAATATCTACCGGTTACGTCAGACCCTCTATAAGTATTTAAGTTGGAGGGGGGGGGGGGGGGGNTCAAGTTTAAAAGATTGAATCAAATAAAAAAAACAATAACAAAAATAAGAGAAAAACATATCGCACATATTTCATACAAATATTGTTACTAGTAACTTAGAAAAGCACTATTTAAGTGAACAGGATCTATTTACACTGTAAAATTGCTATGTCTAATGTTCATCGAACTAGTTCAAGTCCTAACTCAGAGTTTTCTGGTTATCACTGTATGCAAATATACAATATCTCTTGTTAGTACAAAAAAAATTAACTCATTAAATATATGATAATTAAAATAACAGGAAAATTTTTTGTCTTAGATCTATCAGTTCCACTTCCAATTCTGATCATCTGGTATCTTTAAAATCCTAGGCAAAATGTTATCTAACATAATCTGTTGAATATTCTTCATTATTCTGCTGACCTTGAGAAGGAAAAGAAGTATTTAATTGGGCTGTTTCTAGGTACATTAAAACCAGTGGAGCGATATGGTAGAATTGAACATAGAAGATCCACAAGTTTAATTTAAATAATGTTTAAATGTTCAAATAAGGCTTATAAATTATACAATTTCCAAACCGCAGTAGCTCAAAGTTCTGTTCTTCCCCTGCATTCTAAACTAAGCTAGTGAGGTAAGTCAAATAGTCCTAGTTAAAAAGTCTGGCTGCGCCATTCAAAGTTAAAACCGGGCCAACATAGGAAAGTGTCAGGACTGAGATGAGATTTTAAAAGCTTAAACCAGAGTAAAACCCGGTCTTTGCGTCTCCTTAGTCCTAAGTCAAGTCAAGACGCTGGTTTTGGATGGCCTTGAGTTTGGTAAAAACCAACTATCATGGGTTTTTCTCTCTTTAAGGCTCGAGTCTTCAGCAGCTGATGATCGTAAATTTCGTAAAATCTTTTATATTTGTACATTTAAAATCTTGGGAATTATTTGTGGTGTCAAATTTTATTAATTACATAAAAAACAAACTATGAAAATAATGTATACATAAAGTTTGAATTTTCGAAATTTACATCTCCTTGTCACAGCTGATCTGACGGCACTATGTCTGCTACAGAGGGATTGGGGTTGGGCTTTTAAAATCTCATCTCTGGTTCACACACTAACACAGACTGCTCAAATGTTCTACCTGAATATGCTAAGCAGGCCTATAGTGTCCGGTACGCCATGCTATAGTTCCATTAAAGTTTTTTGCCATCCAATGGACAATTGTTGCATATAAGAACCATTCAGAGTTTACGTTTTACAACTTCCAAAGAAGTACTCCAATCTTTAACATGAAAAATAGAATTTAAGAATTTAGTCTAGTTTTGGAGATTTAGTATTTTGTATTCAAAGGATCCTTAAATATCCCTGAATACAGATGTCTGTGGATTAGTCTTGCACAGTACTTGTACGCAATAGAACCTGCTGAGCCTGAAATTTAAAAGAGTATCGTTGGACAAAACTCCCGAGTTTCCTTTTTGGGGTCTTAACTTTTGTGTAGATTTTGATTTTTGAGATTCGACAAAAATGGATAATATGAAGAAACTAAGAAAATAATATTTCATAACAAAAATATTGATATCCACAAAACTGTCTAACCCCATTCGTGAAACCCAGGTTTTAAAACTGGTTTTCATATCGATACCCTGTCTTAAGTTTTGGGCTCTGAGCCCTAAACTTTAGACAGAGTATCATTATGAAAACCAGTTTTGAAACCTGGGTTTTAGGAATGGGGTTTTTTAGTTTAGTGGATATCAATATTTTTATGACTAAATATTATTTTATTCAGTTTCTCCATATACTACATTTTTTTAATCTCTTTAATCGAAATCTACACAAATGTTAAGACCCCACCCCATAAAGGAAACTTGGGAGTTTAGTTCAACAATGCTGTTTTAAATTGTGGGCTCTGTGGAAAATATCGCATATCCTAGGTTTCAATTGATCTCTGATACTCTGTTATCTCTGGTCTGGTTCAAATTCAAGTAGACCCTAGTCCACCTTGCCCCGCCCGTTCTGCCAATGTAAGATAATTGAATAAAAAGCAAGCAAATATCCTTCACTTAAAAGTAACCCAAATAGGTCGAAATTTAATACAGATAGACAATATATACGTACATTTATGCATCCCTTTTACGAGAACCAGTACCTGGCGTGTCTTTCTGACTGACTGGGTTCGGAGAAAACTATTGTGTGGCTCATCAACGTTATCCCCCTGCCCTCCTCCTAGATCAGCAGCTAGCTGCACCTGTTCTTGTTCTAGTTTGTTTAAACCCAAATTAGAAACCATCAAATTAGAAATTAACACATTTGGGTTAATTTGCTTGGATAATACACAGACTACAGACTACAGTAGAACTCAACCTGTAATTAGCGAGGGAGGGAAGGCACATCACATCTTTATTTTCGTCCGACCACAAATGACGTCACAATTCACCATTAATTCGTACGAACACAACTTTTTTTCGTCCGGCATTGTTTACATTCTTTTTAAAAGTACTTTACATTAATACCCACACCATGTCAATCCCCGGACAAAAAAAGGTGTGGTCGGAAGAAATGATGGTGAATTGTGACGTCATTTGTGGTGCTGACGAAATAATAGCATGGTTTGCCATCCTCTACTCAATTAACCTAATTTCTAACTATAGAGCCGGGTATCGAATATATTTGCATTGTGAACAATAAACATGAAAAAAGATTTAATTAATTTACCTCAGAAAAATGTCTAAAATAAATTATTTCCCCCCCCCCCCCCCAAACAAAAAAAAATATTTCGTCTGAACAAAAATTATTTTTTGTAAAGTTTATTTACCCGGTTTTATTGAGTTATTTCGAGAGGTTGGGGTTGTAATGTTTGTTACTACCAATCTTTATATCATCATGATTTTCCAATGTATAATTGATTATTTGATTATCCATTTTGTGTCATGAATGCAATTAATAAGTATTATTAGATTCTATTAATGGGGGAAAACTTTTTAAGAAATAATGAAGCGTGACAAAGTAAAAAAAGAAACTGTCTTCTGTTAGCCAGGCCTGTAACCAGTTACCCTCCTCTCTGTTACTTACATCCCGGCTGTATATGTAAATTAAGTGACCCTCCATAAATGACCCCTTTGTCACAACTTGACAACAGTACTACCGTAGATTAATAGCAATGCAGATAAAACACTAGACGTCGTCCTTTCATTATTATGAGGTTTTTCGTTCTCACTGAGGCAAAAGCCCAAAGAAGTTTTACGCATGTTCTCTCTCTGTCTTGTCATTTAACGTGGCACGCGCGTAACTCCTCTAGGCTTCTGTGAACGTAAAACCCGAAATCTTGAAAAGACGACATCTAGCGTCCATCTGCATTGTTTTTAATCCTTGAAACCTTTCTCTGAGTAAACTGAATGAGCTATCCTTGATTCTCCATCTGAAAATATATAACTTTCAATTGCTTGTTTCTGTAAAGTCACTTACGGTTGTATCAGCAGAGACATAGAAGTAATTATGCGAAATTATTAATAGAAAATGTTTCTAGAATCTTCCATTACAGTACACTTGCGGGGAATTAAGTTTCAACACGATAAAATGCAACCAAGGAGTAGATATTCATTTCATTTCTCCAAGGAAGGAGAAAAGGTAGAAGAGAAGGGGTTGGAGGTACAGGAAGTTGGGAAGGGGAGAAAAGGGGTAAAGTAGGGAGTAGAAGAAATGGGAAGGGAAATATATAGGAGTATCCTGGTAGTTTAAGCCTCAGTATCGGTTGAACCAAGTCCGGAGAATTTTCTGAACCTCCGTCCTATCCTATCCTCATCTTCGACATTAGAGGTTAAACTTCCAGTCCAGGAGGTTCTATATACAACCTCTAGTAGCCTCTATACAAAGCTTTACAGCCTCTAAACACAGGTATTTAAAGTTTACAGCTATAATTTCCAGGAGTACAAAAGGATAATAGTTTAACACCACTGTCAGAGCAACCTCCTGATTTGTTAAAGGAAACATTTTTAGAATATAAGGATAGATCCAAAAATAATGGACTCCACACAGCAAGAACATTTAGTTCATTTGTCCCATAAGTAAGCTAGGTGCGCTCACTCTTGAACCAATCAGATGCGAACAGCGAGATATAATATATATACAATGAGGAGAAATAAGTTTTAACCAATTCTCACAGATTGTTATGAAAGTTGTGAAGTCTGATCAGATTGTTCGATAGATCAATCACAATGCTAGGAATTCTTTTTCCGGACTGATGAAAATTGTAATATTAAATGTGATTAAAAACTCTGTTTAAAAACTTGTTTATAAGCTTGTTTAAAAACTTGCTTGAAACTTGCTTAAAAGCTTGTTTAATAATCTGTTTAAAAACTTGTTTAAAAACTTGTTTAAAACTTCTTTAAAAGTCTGTTTAAAAACTTGTTTAAAACTATTTCAAAACTTGTTTAAAAACTTGTTTAAAAACTTGTTTAAAACTATTTTAAAACTTGTTTAAACACTTGTTTAAATACTTGTTTAAAACTTGTTTAAAACTTCTTTAAAAGTCTGTTTAAAAACTTTTTTAACAACTTGTTCAAAAATCTGTTTAAAAATCTGTTTAACATACTATTTTAAGACTATTTAAAAACTTGTTTAAAAACTTGTTTAAAAACTTGTTTAAAACTATTTTAAAACTTGTTTAAAAACTTGTTTAAAACTATTTTAAAAACTTGTTTAAAAACTTGTTTAAAAACTTGTTTAAAACTATTTTAAAACTTGTTTAAAAACTTGTTTAAAAACTTGTTTAAAACTATTTTAAAAAAACTTGTTTAAACACTTGTTTAAAACTTGTTTAAAACTTGTTTAAAACTTGTTTAAAACTTATTAAAAAACTTGTTTAAAACTTGTTTATTTTTAAGTTTATCTTTAGTGATAAAATCGGGGTCAAACTTTAAACTAAGCCTTGAAACAATATTTTTTAAAATAAAAACTGTATTAAAAAGTAAACAGTCGAAAGAAAAATAGACAATTTAAAGATCAACAATTAAAATAAATCATTATTTAAAAAAAATAAGGTTTTGAAATATTAATAACTATATGAATAGTTTGAATATCCCTTATATACTTTTATCATACAAATTTGCATTTCTTTTGTGCCGTGAATGAATGTTTAAAAAATCAATTAATAATAAGATAGCTATTAGCTAAGAACCATGCAGCCGGTTTCAAAAGTATTGTTGAACGTTACTCACAAGGAAACTTTACTTTTTGGGATTTGTATTTGTTTAGACAATGGACAGTGAATATAAAACTAACCATGTATGAATATACTGCAGGGTTACACACAAAGGCAAGAGACTAAAGACGACCGAAAACACTTTAAATGTGACGATCTCAAGGTTAAATTAAGTATTCGGCCTTAGCTATAGTAATTTAATATAATGATGTGGTAAAGAAATAAACAAGTTTATATTTATACAAAATATAAGGAAACAGACAATATAAATTCCGTCTCTGAAGTGTCATCCTTAGTGGGTTACCCTGAAAATATAATGATATAATATATCTACAAAATTGGCTTTCCCCATTTGTGAAAGCCAGTTTCTGATATTGGGTTTGATAACGATACTTTGACTTAAATTTTGGGTTCTTTGGAGCATAAAAAAACGCACATTAAAGCCAAATATTGATTCCAGATTTAAGTATTTCATTTAGCACGAACCTGTTTTTCTGTATTTAACTGGAAGATATTTCTGGGATCTCTGAAACATGTTTTGCCGTTCTTGAAACTTTTAAATTGACGAAATATTAGAATACTTCTTCAAGTTTAAAAGATTGAATCAAATAAAAAAAAAACAATAACAAAAATAAGAGAAAAACATATCGCACATATTTCATACAAATATTGTTACTAGTAACTTAGAAAAGCACTATTTAAGTGAACAGGGTCTATTTACACTGTAAAATTGCTATGTCTAATGTTTATCGAACTAGTTCAAGTCCTAACTCAGAGTTTTCTGGTTATCACTGTAGATAGAAAGCAACAATATCTTTATCATCCTTGACCCTCGAAATTCGGGCATACCACACTCCAAAGGAATTTAGTCTTTACCAAAACTTTGATTTTCCAATCCTTATATCTTTGCAACCCAATGTCGTAGACCTTAGATATTTCAAATAATTAAATAGATATTTCTGTAAATTAAATAGTCTAAGTTTAAAATTTCAAAGGTTTACGCATCAGGTTGCAAAGATATAGGGATTCGAAAATTTGAGTTTGTGGCAACAACTAAGGTGATTGAATATTGAATATAAGCGGTTTTATTTTCGAAATCTAGAGTGCACAACGGGTATGATGGGCAACGAGATTATAATGAAGGAACACTTAAAAATAAATTGATTTTTTTCTTTAAGTTCTTAATATTCAGTAAATCTCCCGTCCACAGCCCAAAACGGATTATAAGAAAAATCCCTTTGATTACTAATCTATATACTTTCGATTGATTCGGTTCTAAGCTAAGTAGGTTGACTTTTAAAGTGAAAATTTAGTTTCCATGCATAGCTTGGTTCCTAAGCATGTAGATTCACGGTAATGTTCTAATGTTCTAAATAACTCAGAATAAAACAAATAAATTGATTAATCACTTTCACGTTGTCATTGACCTTAGTTTGCGGTATTCAACATAGGGAATGTGATTATAGCAATATTTTTCTTTAAAAAAATAATAATTGAATAAACCTAGTCCTGCTCTTTCTAAAATGAGGTCTGCCATGTTTGTGCTTCATAATTATTAATGATTTCCTTCAGAATCAGACATTTTCATATAGTTTTACTTCATTTATTTATAACGAAGGGCCTCATTTGTCCTCTAAGTGACCGTAGAAAAAACGAGTAATCCGACCCATCAGCACCCCCATTAGATAATGAGATGTGAGCATTAGGGTAGGGGGCCTGTTAAGATCGTAAATACGACCTGGGTCAGTTTGGTCGTCATGCAGCCTAGGCTGTTTCCCCAGCCCACTTCATAAATTGAAACTTTAAACAAAATTCTTCATGTCTCTGGTAGTTTTGAGAGCAATAAAATGGCAAACCATCTTTTGAAAAAGGAAAAGGCAGAAGACTATTTTCTGATTATTGATTCATGAAAGAAAATTGCAAAAATCATTCTACTTTTAAGGTCAAAGACGACTTTGAATTTGTTATTCAATCAAATTATATTATTCTTGGTTATTTATAACTGTAGCTTGATGGAGCAATCCTAAATTGAGCTGGTCGACCTTATCACGGAGCGTCTTCATTTCCAATCAAAGCTGGGTTTCCAAGCTAGTTTTATATAAAATCTAAAGAAAGTTAAGATTAACTTTTCTGTAAAGTGAGTGGAAAGTTAGAGAGTATGTTGAAACTAGTTACTCTACTCTCGTACAACAAATTAAACCTGGAAACCTTATTGACGGAGTAGTTGGTGCAGGTCTGCTAATCGTATTACAAGATTTCCTCAGATCAAACAAATGTTTGTTCAAACCAAGGAATGTATCCCAGGAACCAACATCATACGTACCAATAAAGGGACTGTAAGCGACCATCCCTACAAATATGGCAATGTCCGATTTTCAACGACACAACTTAAACGCATTGTTTGATCAAATATGAATGAGCTATCATTGTTTTTGCTTTAATAGACGAGTTGTTTTAATTTGTGATTTCTCTGCAAGCGAAGGTAACTTGCACATTTCTTACTTTTAAGTAACTATGGAGAAATTATCAGAATCAACCGCTTTTCACTTTTCACTTTCACATTATCTTCTCAATTTTTGTTATCAGAGCTGGGAACTTTTGAATGGTGGATATCGGGATTAATGCTTAATCCACTCTTTTTCTTAATCTCCAGATTAAATAATGCTTGTCTCCTCTTGTTATTAATCTCCAGATTAATTAACCGATCGGGATTAAGGATATTTCATTCTAAAGTTTTCAGCTCAGATTAAAGTTTCAAGGATACCATTGAAATTTGGCATTGTCTGCATCTTCGCACGGATGGTCACTTGAAATTGCGCTTACAGTCCCTTTAAACAGTTAAGTATTGAAGTAACTACAACTACAACTGCAACTACAACTGCAACTATAACTACAACTACAACTACAACTACAACTNACAGTACAATACAGTACTGTACAGTACAATACAGTACTGTACAGTATCAAAGTGGTACAAAGTATTGGAGTACAACATTACAAATATTTCTGGTTCCCCATGCAGTTTATTATGTCCGGATCTATGTGCATTGTGTATACACTAAATACTAAAGAAATGGAACTGTCTCCAGGAAAGTTTAGCGAGGATTTAACTTGATTTTTAAACAAATAGTTATCGATAAGGATGAGACAAAAACAACTTCAGAACAACATTTTTTCTTGGAAAAAATATGTATTAAAAAAATACAAAATACAAAACACTAGAAAGATTGATGATAAAAAATCTTGAAAGGCAAACAACAAAAACATAAAAAAATGCTGAGTTCACAGATCTGAATTTTCGTTGTTCTACTTCATACATGTATAGTGTACAATATTCTAGTTAGTTTTGAACAACAAAATAATATTATATTTTCATTTTGAATTAAAATAGATAGACATGCATTGACCAACCCCCCCCCCTCCCCTGCTTGTACTATTTTCCATAGAAAGAGTTTAAATCAAAATCTTTGAAGAGGGTGTTTTATTCAATTTTGAATAATGCTTTAGTTTCCTTTAAAGGTTTGCAGATTGTTGGATCAGAGCAAATCCAACTCACTTTATCACTTTTATCCTCTCAAACACATACGCTTTCATCCTTTCTGAGAATTCTTTCAAATGCAAAATTGTTCGTCCAAAGGGACTGCACACTTATTTTGAACTAGCTTGGAAACTCAACTTTGCCTGGACTATTCCT